AGGCAGAGCTCGCCGCGGGGAGTGCGGGCGCCCGGGGCTCCCGCCTGGCCCCCCGCCGGGCCTGGGCCCTGGTCTCTGGGCGAGCGCGCGGGAAGCAGAAGCCCGAGGAGAAGTGAGCTTGGGCACGCAGTGAGGCTAAAATGGCCACGGAAACCCCGTCCAGGTTTAGAACGGGTTCGGTCCTGAACGTGCTGGTGAACGGACACGAGGCTCGCGATGCGAGGCTTGTGGGAAAGCTGCAGGTCAGGCCGGAGCGGGCGCTGTGCTCTGCAGCAGCCTCCAAGTGACCGGTACTCACGGCGCCGGCGGCTTGTCAGCTTGTCCCTCGTTAACTTCACTGTTGCCTCGTGTGGAATTATTAAATAACCATACTGCTGTCTCTAGAAACACACTGGGAAGAATTGTGTGCTGCTGTTTGCATAACTTTGTCTCTTATAAAACTTTAGGGAATTGTACCTTTAAAATAAGGGAAATCTACATAAAAGAATTGACGATATTTCTATCTCGTTTATATACTTATGTGTTCAATTTCTATCTTGTTAAATAACAAGCTTATCTGTTATTTCTGTCTTGTCAAAAATGGTGATAGAATTATCTGTTGCCATTTTAGAATTTTATAACTAAGCCATTTATTCTTATTTTTGTTTTGTTTTACCTAGGAAGCTTTCTTTGGAAAAGATCTTCTAGATACAAGTAGACAAAACAAGCTAAATTTAGATAATCTATCAGAAGACACAGCTCAGCTTTCATATAAAACAAGCGTGAACACACATTTCTTGGATCCTTCCTTAGATCCACTACTTAGTTCATCCTCAACTCCTGCAAAACCTGGAGCTCACGGTATGTGGAATTTTTATTCTGTGATATTATCTCCCTTTTAAATCTCTGAAATGCTTTGGTTTGGCCTCATACACAGTTTTAAAATTAGCCTTATTGAGGTGTAACTTGTGTTCAGTAATAAATGTAACTGTTTTACGGGGCAGGTCTTTAATGTCTGGCAAATAAATGTATCTGTGTAACTACCACCGAAATCAAGAATTGCAAAGGAGAATGTTAGGTTTACACTTGCTGAGGGTACACGTAGGGAGTGTAATTTGGCCATGAGTTATAAATATTATAATCAACCTAAGGAATTTAGATTTTTGTTAATTACACAGCCCAAAGAAATTCATAAGAGGACAAGAATGCTGTTCTAGGGACCCAGCTGGCAGACTGTTAATAAATGAAATCCATAGCCTTAGGTCAGTTTCTCGCCGCCGACCTCGGTAAATCTTTGTTGGAGGAGGGAGGCGGCCCCATGCAGCGGGGAATACTTGCAGCCTCTCCTTCCCCATGATGTCATGGTGCTCAGAAATGTCTCCAAATATTGCCAAATGCCCCCTACACAATCGCCCCCGATGGAGAACTTCTACCCTGGATACAGTGAATATGGGGACTGTTTAGTGTTAGAGGAAGGTCTGAGAACTTAATATATATTTATAAACATGTTAATACGTTTAACATCAGCAGGGCTTCTGGAGTTTAATTAGTTGGATGTATGAGAGCTGTGATCAGAACCCCCCCCTCCAGATTTTTGTCTTACTAGCAATTATAATTAACGTTCTTCTGATAAACGTCCTTCTTGCCACTGATTATATTTGTTGCTCAGTTAATTTCATAAACTCAACTTGGAAAGTACTCTTACGGCAATCTTCCACTGAAAGACAGCTTGATACGTTAGGTCGTTACAGCTTTATTAACCTGGCATTATCCTGGATTGAAATGTAGGCTTTTCCTTTTTGGCGTTGACTTCTTGCCTGGACTAGAGGCCGTCTCAGCCCTCTGTCTGCATGCACGCGTCCCGTCTCCCGCTGGTGTACTGAGGCCGTGCTTTTGTTCGTTGATTTTAGCAGATTATTTCACTTTTACTTTCGTTCTGTTGTTTGAAGTATTGACCTGCTCTTGTCCATGTGAACATGCTGTTAAAATAATGTGTCGTGAAAGACCTGTGGGTCCTTTGAAGGAAACCCTCGCTATGAAAGATGTATCTAACTAAAAATCATGGCTAGCAGTTTAAAGACTTAGACGTTATTTGCACTTGAGTTTTATGAGGAACAGAACTGAAAGTGGACAGCAGCTGTACTGTGACAGGGAAGACCTTACCATACTTTATTTTTCCTTTTTTCTTTATTTGAATTTGTTTGTTGTTGTTTTTTCCGCAAAACTGCTGAAGAGAAATGGTTTGATGATAAAGCCAAATATGAGGACTAGAGTAAGATAAACATTTCGAAACTTAGCTGAAACCATGAAGTTCTCTGCTGTTGAGCCACTCCGCCTTCATGATGGGAAACCTCCACGTAGCAGTTTTCTTTCTGTTTTACATTTCACTTAACATAGTCTGTGACATCAATTTTAATGTGTTGGTGAGAGATAAAACCTGTTCAGGTGGGGGTAAACTTTTTAAACATGGCCTTTTAAAAAATGTTATGATTAGTGTACAGCATTCCATCCAAAACACACACGCACACTAAATGGCCCCTGAAGGAATTATCCAGAATTTTTTTCTTTCAACTGGACTGTTGTCTAGAGAAAATATATTATTGAAATAATTTTCTCTTAAAACTTTATGAATATTTGGGCATGCAAGATTTATATTTTCTTTCAATTTGAAAATTATATTCTTGTGTATGTATCAATTCTATTTGGGAAGTATGCATTTAGTCAGACAAGACTATTTGTCCCGTTTTTATTTAAAAAAATCATACGTTCCCTAAGTTAAATGACTGACATAATTACGAAAGCTAGCCTAAATAGTTTTCTGCTTGTTAGGCCAGAAACCTTTGGAGTTGCCGTTGACTTCTTACTACCTCCCATTCCACATCTAACACACCCACACATTCATCCCTGCCTTCAGGCTGTACCCCACAGGCACCCACTTCTTACCTCAGCTCCCCTGTCCCTGCGGTGCGGGCCGTGCCCGGCTCTCACCTGGACTGCGCAGCAGAGCCTGCTGCCTGGTCTGCAGATTGCCAGTCTTGCCAACACTCCCCCCACCTGCAGCCGCTCTGTTCCGCACATGGCAGCCACCGCGCACCTGTGAGGTGGTAATCACACGCTCTCCGGGCCACAGCCTCCTAGCAAGTTCCCGTTACACGTTGTACTTGAGAGTAAAGCTCCCACATACCCTTGCGTAGCTGTCTTTCTTACAACCAGCACGCTGGCTCCCTGTGTTGGCAAAACCCTACCTGCTCCGTTCTGCACGTCTCCTTTCATTTACACTCGTGTGTGGTCATGTCCTGTAAAAAGCCTCCCCTGACTGACCACTTAGTCTAATGCAGCGCCGCACATCTGACTCTTAGTCCTGTCTGCTTATTTTAAAGTCTTTATGGCACTGACACTGATGTCATTTATTGTCTAACTCCCTCTGAGAGGGTAAGCTCTGTGAGGGCACGTCCTGGTTTTAGTCACTTCTCCACGCGCAGCGGCTGGAACATGCGTGTCGGGGCAGCGTGGCCGGTGCTGCGGGCACAAGTGTGGGCCAGTGCCCGCCAGTGCCCGGGGAGGGGAGGTGGGCTGGGACCACATGGCGTCTGGCTTCACCTCACAGCCAACTTCTAAGTGATGGCTTCGCCTTTCCTATTTTATCTTCTGTGTTTTTATTTTCCAGATGTCATTTTTAGAGATGTCACTTTCTCAATGAATTTTTTTTTGCCTTGTTTCTTACAGTATTCTATTTCACTTTGATTGCCTATAGGGCTTTATGTCATTGTTAATACAAATTTGCCACGAAACAAAAATAGTCTTAATCTTTAATGTTTTGTTACTCAAAACATCAGAGTACCTTTCCTGTGAACAAAAGTCCTTTACTTTAGAAGTAGCGATCTTAATGTTTTGTGATTCTCGCCCGTACCTCAGCATCTGCTGTACTCGAGATATGTAGTAAGTAGATGAACGAGTAAGGGTGTTTTAGAATTTAACGTCTGGGAAACTATCGAGACATTAAAAATACACTTACTGTATTTAGGTACTGCTGACGACCCCTTAGCTGATATATCCGAAGTCTTAAACACAGAGGATGACATTCTTGGAATAATTTCAGATGACCTTGCAAAATCAGTTGATCATTCAGGTATATTGAATGCTGTTTGCCCAGTGTCTGTCTTAGGATATGAGAGAGAGGTGCGTGTGTGTGCAACAAGTGTAGTCTTTTCTCTAAAGCAAACAAAAAAAAAATGTTTTGGTCATTATAAAAAAATTCACTATAATTTGATCTGCCTCGGCTCTCCTGCTTTAGGAGGGGAAACAGCAAGTTAGTTAATTTCTGTCATCTTTATGATGGCGTCACATGGAAGGCGTGTTGCCTTAAAGTCTCGTGTGTCCTGTTTCTTCTCTTGTTTGCCCCTCGCCTCCGCTCCTGTGGTAATCACCCATTTTATTTGGTTTGGGTCTTGTAGGTCTTGATTTATGCACTTTCCAGGTTGACAGCTCACCTTTTCCGTTTGGTAAGAACCTGAGCAATGGATGACGGCTGACTAGAGTAGTCTTTTTTATAGTGATCTCAGCAGCCACAGCCTGTAGGTGCATGCGTATTTGTCATAGTGCTAATTTGTCACTAATCCTTCCTTTGCCTTCCCCTTTGTGCGTGCCGCTAAAGCATGGTACTGCTGTATCGTGCTTTGGGTGACTTTCTCAGTAGTTTGTTTTGTTTTGTTTTGTTTAATGAATGGTTTTATTTTTGTTAACATGTAATTTATAATTCTACCCAGGTGTTATAGAGTTAGTTTCTAATATAAAATCGAATAAGAGCAGGCTAAATCTTACTTTTTAATAATAGTAATATTGAGAATGCATGGTAAAGAAATTAGATGATAGACTACTTTTAAATGTAGTTACTGCTTTAAAAAGCAATTTGTGTGAGATAGGGCATGTTAGATCCTAAACACAGTCTGTGTTTTGTACTTGACCACAGAATATTTCAAAAATATGACCTATAGTTGAAATTACTCACAGGGATTGTGTTTACTAAACATTAAGAATTTTAGAGCTTCTCATTCATTTCTGTGAAACATATACCTTGTTTCACATGCCGCATGTGGTAGGGGAACTGTACATTAGGACCCACCTTTTCCAAGTTAAAGCTGTTACTCATGTAGTGACTGTGGCATATAGAACGTTCTCTTAGGCTCCTGTCTTAATAACGTGCTGCTCATTTTCTGTGGAAATTAGCACTTCAGACCCAGAAGTGTTCCTGTACTCATCAGGAAACGTATTTATTTAGAGTAAACTGTAACTTTAAGTGGCACCCAGTTTACAAATACACTGTGCCTAATTTTTACTAATTTTGACTATCCCGATTGATAAAACAATCCTGATTAATTCAGAATTACAGACTTCTCATTGCTCAATTTTAATCATACTGTTGTGTGTTCACGCAGGTGAATAGTGTTTTGCATTTTGTGTGCATGTCCAGAATTTACTTTTTAATGTCTTTACCTTGTTCCTGCAGCCGGAATAGATATTGGCCCAGTCGCCGACGACCCTTCCTCTGTGCCTCAGCCAAGTGTCAGTCAGAGTTCACGACCGTTAAGTGAGGAGCAGCTGGATGGAATCCTTAGTCCTGAGCTAGACAAAATGGTCACAGATGGTAAACTATTTGCCCTACAGCTAGGCTTTCTAAAAGACATGAGTAAATATGATTTTCAAAGATTTCTGCATGCTTATTTATAATTTCATCTTCTATTTTAATGATTTCTGTGACATGCTATTTTGTATCAGTATGTTGAAATGGTGATTATTAATATTTCTATTTCTTTATTATCTCCTAGGAGCAATTCTTGGAAAGTTATATAAAATTCCAGGTAATTGTGTTCTGTGTTTTTGTTTTTAATATATCGTTTTCAGAGACAGGGAGAGGGGGAGAGAGAGAGATACATCAATGAATCATTGATCGGCTGCCTCCTGCACATCCCCCACTGGGGTCACCCCCCACTGGGGAACTAGCCCAGAACCAGGGCATGTGCCCTGATGGGAATCGAACCTTGATCTGGATCATACGTCAGTGCTCAACCCCTGAGCCACGCTGGCCTGGCTGTTCTGATTTTTTTAGTTCACAAAAGTGGCAATCCTTGTATGGCTTTCCTAGACTTTTAACCGCATGATCATTGTAATTGTGTTTCCTAGAGCTGGGAGGAAAGGATGTTGAGGACTTGTTTACTGCTGTGCTCAGTCCTGTGACCGCCCAGCCGACTCCATTGCCACAACCTCCCCCTCCCCCTCCCCCTGCACCACAGCTGATGCCCCTACACAATCAGGGTATGTACGTCACCCCAAAATATCTCCTGAGTGTGGTTCTGTGTGTATATGTATCCACGCATGTTTGTGTGTGCGTGTTTGCTAAAGCAGACTCAGTTCTGTCCCTTAGTAACAACACATACAAACTTATTGTAGAAAGCCCTCTTTTGTGACGATGGGAAAGACTAATCTCTGAATTTATCTTGGTCACACACCTCCTTCCCTCAAACTCTGGGATTTCATGGTCCACTTTATGACCAGAATCCTCTTGCTCACTTTACTGGCGGTGGGGACAGTGCTGCAGTGTCTCCCTCCTCCCTGCCCAAGTCTCAGCCCACCTTCGCTCAGACCTTCTTGCGTAGGTGTTGTGAGAACTGCGTCCCCTCGCCTGGCTGCCTGTACTCTGATCAGGCCCCAGGTTCGCTGTCCTCTGCACACCTGCTCCATCTTCCCGTTGGTCGCAGTGCTGCCAGGACACAGACCTGTGGTTTTTAGATGGTTTTTGTATTAGTAGGAATAAGCAAAATAGAAGAACCTGTGTTTGTAAGTTTTGAATGAGGAAGAGCGTTTCCGATGAAACTTCCTAGAGTTCTCCTTTTCAGGCTCTGTGCTGGGAACTGCCGGGCACCGTGTCAGTCACAGATCACCTCCTTTTACAGAAAGGGGTGGGTGCTCTTCCAACAAGTAGCAGAATTAGATCAAGCCCAGGGCAGTCAGACCCCCAAACGTGTGCCATTTCCAGTAAACTGACACAGTAAACAGAAGTACAGAGGCCAGCTTTTAACAACATATGACCAGTCCCTCTTTAAGCAGCATTGTACAGGATGATATTGAAAAAAATTGCCCAACTTCATTATTATTAAATAGCAATACAAGTTTTTATTTAGAAATATATCTTCTGCTTTTTTGTTATTTATGAATAATATGCAGACTGAATTGTTATTTTCTTTTAAGATGTTTTTTCACGGATGCCACTCATGAACGGCCTTATTGGACCCAGTCCTCACCTCCCGCACAACTCTCTGCCTCCTGGAGGTGGGCTGGGGACTTTCTCCTCCATAGCACAGTCCCCTTACACCGACGCCAGGTATTTAAAGCTGTCACTTCTTGTGGCAACCCAAGTGATTTTGTTATATGAATGTTAGTCTGTTACTGTGCATGATACTAGTAGTCGTTAACATTTATGGTGCTCTTCTAAAAATCATCCAAGATTTGAGCTATTTTGTAATAATAGGTTTTAATGAAATTGTACTTGAAAGTTATTTTATCTTTATGAAGTACCATTGTGTATTATTTGCCAGGGATAAGAATCCAGCATTTAATCCAATGGCCGGTGACCCTAACAGCTCTTGGACGTCCTCGGCTCCCCCTGTGGAAGGGGAGAGCGACACGATGTCCAGCGCCCAGAGGAGCACTCTCAAGTGGGAGAAGGAGGAGGCCCTGGGGGAGATGGCCACGGTCGCGCCGGTTCTCTACACCAACATGAACTTCCCTAGCCTGAAGGACGAGTTCCCTGGTAAGTCTTGGGCATGTGGTGCTCTGTGCTGTCAGCTTCCGCGTGTGTAAGACAGCCTTTGTTCTGGGGGTGTGCTTTTACTATGGTAGTGAGCCCGTGTGTCCTCGCTGATTTTCATCTAGTATGACTGTAAACAAAGCAATAGTCTTAGTTCCTTGATTCCTGGAAATATCTGGCATTTTCTTAGCCCGAGGCCCTGTGATCATTTGCATATTTCCCAGAAGCTGATATTAATGAATGAAATGATGTTTTTATGCTCTTAGTGACTGTAAATATATGGAAGTCAGTGTTGTGTTCTATGTGCAACTGCACAAAACATTTCCTAGAACAGAATCTCATCATTTGTTTGTTTATTTTTTTAAATATGTTTTTATTGATTTCAGAAAGAGTGAGAGGGAGAGAGAGAAACATCAATGATGAGAGTGAGTCATTGATCGGCTTCCTCCTGCACGCCCCTTCCGGGGGATCAAGCCCAAATCTAGCCATGTGCCCTGACAGGGAATCGAACCGTGATCTCCTGGTTCATGGGTTGACTCAACCACTGAGCCATACCAGCCGGGCCAGAATCTCATCATCTAATCAAAAGTGTCAAGTTAGGCTGCATCAGACTCCATTCTAAGTATTGTCCCCATCAAAACGAACCCACTATTAGCCTCCCTTTCCCCCAGCTATCTAGTGTGCTTGAATAAAAACTGCAGATAATACAGTGGTGCCCTTTCTGAAAATTCTGATTGGCCAGAGGATGAAGCATTTGGGTTAACGAAACGTCATTTGTAGGATATTTGTGAGCAGATGCTGGTATTGTCTTGAGTTCATGTTGCTGGACAAACCAGACTGAAAAGGTTGGGCACATTCTGTCCTCAGCAACTTCCAGCCGTCAGCACACAGCTGTAAGGTTACTGGGCAGCTGGCCTCCCACCTGCAAGTGCACTGGCTTATGGACGACCCTGTCTGCCAGGTGCCTTTTTGGCTCAGCCTCCTCGTGGTACTTTGTTCATTACATGTATAGAAACGAACGCCTCCTTCCCTAACGGCAGTCCCGCATTGTCCGCACAGTGCACACTTCTTCCTGTGCTTCTAACCTCACTGTCTGCCACCTACAGAGGAGCACATCTGGTCACAGCACGTCACTTTGTGTCAGTGTAATTGTTCTTAGGACAAGGCTATAGTTTAAGTAATTTTCTCTAATGATTTTACTATGTGATTATAGAACCACGTGAAACAGCAAGTAAAAGCTGCTTGTTAGCTCATCTCGATTGTCAGTGGCTTTTTTCAAGCTTCCTCTCTCCTCTTTCTCTCCCCCTTTCCCTCCCCCTTTCCCTCCCCCATCTCCTTTCTTTTAATATGGACTAAATTGTTTCTCCATTAACCACTAACTGTTCATCTCACCTGAACTTCATGTTATATACTGTCCTGACACTGAATTTCACAGAAATGGCTTGTAGGTCGTGGTTTTTCTGTATCTTGGTTATGCACAAATGCTGGTGAGAGGCGCACTTCCTCTTGGTCAAATCAATAGACTTCTCTTGAGTACAGATACTTTACAAAACTTTTAGCTTTGATTCCGATAGCATCGTACATGATTAAGGGGATTTCTAATATTTGGCTTAAATTTAACTTGACTGCTTAGCCCCTTTGATTTAAGAACTTCCTAGCTCTACTTGCGAGATTGTTAACAAGGCAACACCTTATTTAGAAAATGGTTTTTTAGCCTACTGTGTGCCTTGAACGTGTACTGTACAGAGAACTTAATATAGGATACTCACTTCTGAAAACCCAGCCAGAGTGTGTCTCACTGTCAGAAGTTCACCAGCCTTTTTGCTGAGCTGCGTCCTTGTGGGCTCTGTGAACGGGCCCACCGTGTTCTCGTTGCAGACTGGACGACTCGAGTGAAGCAGATCGCCAAGCTGTGGAGGAAAGCAAGTTCCCAGGAAAGAGCACCATACGTGGTATTTAAAAAACTCCTGTGCTTTACATCTTTGAACAGAATACCTGAGCCTTGTTGTTGTCTTAAGGAAAAGATTTTCCATTGCAGAAAACATACGTTAATGCTTGTGCAGCAAACAGCTTTGTTTTCATAGTGACGTCGTAGCTCTTTATGCCTTAACATAAAGTGTGGCATTTTTATAAGTCAGCTCATGGAACCAGGATTCTGAAGATTGAACTGAAGTTATTTTAGGAGCATGTTTAATTCATTTCACTTCAGAATTGTTTTAGCTCTTCAAAGGGTCACTAAATTTTGAGGCCGCATCCCTGTGCCATTGTTTCTTCTATAGTAGGCCCTTTTTGTGTGGAGTCCAGTAGAAAATCGCTCTGGAATTTGAAGGGAACGTATCCAGACCCCTTTCAGGAGCTTTTGAGACGTGCACTTTGCCAGAGTCATTAGGGTATTTGTAAGATTCATCGTTGAGACGATGAATTGCTATTTCCCAAAGAGCCAAATTAAGATTATTGGCTGGACCTCTCCTTGCTTTCGTTTGAAAGTGTACGAAATCGACGACATTGTTTTGAGGAGTACACGCAGTTCCTTTCCAACTTGACCCTCAGCGCACACGTTGTCATTGATAGTAGGTGTTTAGATGGAACAGAAAGTTTTTTTTCTTCTTTTAAAATATGTTTTTATTGAATTCAGAGAGGAAGGGGGAGGGAAAGGGAGAGAGAGATAGAAGGAGAGGGAGAAACATCAGTGATGAGAGTCATTTATTGGCTGCCTCCTGCACACCCCCGACTGGGGATGGAGTCCACAACCTGGGCCTGTGCCCTGACCAGTAATCGAACCCTGATCTCCTGGGTCCTAGGTGGATGCTCAGCTGCTGAGCCATGCCGGCCAGAAGCTATTTTTGATGTGTTGGTAGCGCTGTGCTTTGCTTTTACTTGGCCCATCGGAGTAAGTGACAGCATTGAGATATTTTTCTTCCATGTTAAGCTTCAAACTCCAGATTTTAAGTTTGGAGGATTGATTTGATAGTTTCCTTTTCTCTAAACTGAACAAGCTGTGAATTTTTCTACTGTTGAGACAATTAGGATTGAAAATACTAGATTACGCCTGGGTTCTCTCTCCCGATCAGGTAGAGACGGTAGCAAGGGTTATAGGAGGGAGAGGTGGGCAGTGTCCAGATCTTCACACAGGAGGCTGCAGACTCCAAGGGGTTATGTTTCAACTGTTTAATGCGACTTTTTCTTGCTTTTATATGATAAAGATCGACATAGTTTTATTTTTATTTCCTAAAACTTGTTAACATATACTGGGAGATAACTTTCTGATCCCTTTTTCAAAGCAAAAAGCCAGAGACAACAGGGCTGCGTTGCGCATTAACAAAGTGCAGATGTCAAACGACTCCCTGAAAAGGCAGCAGCAGCCAGACAGTGGCGACCCCGGCTCCCGCCTCGACTCGGATCTCTTTAAGGATCCGCTAAAGCAGAGAGAGTCGGAGCATGAACAGGAATGGAAATTTAGACAGGTATGTTTCATTTTTTAAAAAAAGATTAGCTTTTTAAAATACCACTTTTGCCTGAAGAGAGCTATTTATGTCGTTATCTCAGAACATAGTTCGTATTAGAACATAAAAATTTGGTTAAAATTAGACTTTCCTTTCTCAGTAAAGCATATTGAGCTGCTTTGGGAAGTTTGTTGAGATGCATGAAGGCTGCTGCCCTGGGCCTGAGTTAGGTGGTCGGGGGCATAATGTCTTGGGTTTAGGAGACTGAATCTAAGGTGGGCACCATCTGGTACCGATGATGTCATGCAGATTCATTCTCAACAGAATTGAGAGTTAATTCCAAGAGAAAGGCAGCAACCTCCCCTATGACAGTTCCCTCTTCCTGACCCACATGGTTGCTTTCTCTGCCCAAACCCAATAGCAAATGCGCCAGAAGAGCAAGCAGCAGGCCAAGATTGAGGCCTCACAGAAGCTGGAGCAGGTGAAGTGTGAGCAGCAGCAGCAGCAGCAGCAACAGCAGCAACTTGGCTCACAGCCCCCTGTGGCGCCATCTGGTTCGGACACGCCCAGCAGTGGCATTCAGAGCCCCCTGACCCCGCAGCCTGGCCCTGGAAGCATGTCTCCTGCACAGTCATTCCATAAAGACCTGTTTACAAAGCAGCTGCCTGGCACCCCGACCTCCACCCCAGCGGACGATGTGTTTGTGAAGCCACAGGCTCCACCACCTCCTGCCACCCCCTCTCGGGGTCCCCTCCCGGAGAGCCCCTCTCAGTCTCAGCCACCTTCGCCGCAGGTATTCTCACCTGGATCTTCTAACTCCCGGCCACCGTCTCCAATGGATCCTTACGCAAAAATGGTTGGTACCCCGAGACCACCTCCTGGAGGCCACAGCTTTTCCAGAAGGAACTCGACAATGGTGGAAAGCTGTGCATCTTTATCGTCAGGACCCAGGCCCCCTCAGATGAGCGAGAGTGCGGTCAACAGGCCATCCCCCGTCCGAGATTTCTCCTCTTCCTCCTCGACAAGTAGCGACCCCTATGCAAAGCCTCCGGACACACCCAGGCCTGTGACGACAGACCCGTTCCCCAAACCCTTGGGCCTGCCCCGGGCTCCTGTAGTTCAAGAACAAAATGCAAAAGGGCCCCTCACAGCTGGAGCCAGTGATCACTTCGCGAAACCATCTCCCAGGGCAGATGTGTTTCAGAGACAGCGGGTCCCTGATGCCTATGCACGGCCCTTGTTGACTCCTGCACCCCTCGATAGTGGTCTTGGACCATTTAAGACCCCGATGCAGCCACCTCCATCTTCCCAGGACCCTTATGGATCAGTGTCGCAGGCACCACGGCGGCTGCCCATCGACCCTTATGAAAGGCCTCCTCTGACACCAAGACCTGCAGACAACTTTTCTCATAACCAGTCCAGCGATCCATACAGCCAGCCTCCCCTCACCCCACACCCCGTGATGAGCGAGCCTTTCGCGCATCCCTCAAGGGCTTTCCCCCAGCCCGGAACCATGTCAAGGCCCACAACTCAGGATCCATATTCCCAACCCTCAGGACCATCTCGCTCCAATCCAGACCCTTATGCTCAGCCTCCTGGAACTCCCCGACCCCCCACGATTGATCCATATAGTCAGCAGCCACCAACCCCAAGGCCACCGGCACAAGCAGATTTGTTCGTCACACCTGCAGTGAGTCAGAGGCACTCTGACCCGTACGCTCATGCTCCTGGGACACCGAGACCTGGTACCTCTGTGTTTTACTCTCAGCCACCAGCAGCACCGAGGCCGAGGGTTTCAGAGGGGTTTGCTCGGTCCTCCGTGACAAGACCTGTCCTCATGCCGGGCCAGGATGCATTCCTGCAGGCAGCACAGAGTCGAGGCACAACCTTACCCGGCCCTGTGGCGAGGACACCCGATGCCTGTGCCCAAACACCTGGCCCGCCGGGACCTGGCCTTGGAGACACCTTCAGCCGTGTCTCCCCGTCGGCTGCTCGAGATCCCTACGACCAGCCCCCGATGACTCCGAGGCCTCAGGCTGACGCGTTTGGAGCAGGTCAAGTGGCTCCTGATGCTGTCGATCAGCCCCGGCCGGGGTCCGAGGGGAACTTCAGTGCACCTTCAAACACCTCCATGAATTCTCAAGGCCAGCAGTTCTCCGGTGTCTCCCAACTTCCTGGCCCAGTACCAACCTCGGGTGTCACTGACACACACAACACTGTCAATATGTCTCAAGCAGATGCAGATAAGTTGAGACAGGTAAGCACATTGCATGTTCTCGGGTGTTTTCAGTGTATTATTTGAGAAAGCTAGTCATTTCATCAAACTGAGTAATTTCTACACAGATACTCAGTTTTATTTTCTGTAGACTTTGTCATATTGTAAAGAAGGAAAATGAAAGTGGTGAAATTAACACCAGTCAGTTGGATTTATTGTGTATCTATTTTCAATATTTGTGAATTTTTAGGGGAATTCTTAGATATGAACTCATTCAGTTTTGTGATAGTTGGGAGGCAAGGAAAAGGCCCCAAATAACTTATGTTTTATAACCTATTGAATAGTTAGGTTTATGTAACTAGTGTTTCATCAAACTTTAAAATACTAAGATATTAAAAATTTTTATTTATTGATTGGCTGACTTGAGAGAGAAAAACATCAGTTAGTTGCTCCACTTCCTTGTGCATTCGTTGGTTGACTCTTGTATGTGCCCTGACCGAGGATGGAACCCGCAACCTTGGTGTATCGGGAGGACACTTCAGTCAAATAAGCTGCCCGGCCAGGGCCAGCATTAAGATATTTTAAGCATCACCACAGTCACACATTGGGTGCATTAGGGTTTAGTTACCAGAAATCCCAGTGACTTTTGTTTCTTTTCGTCAGCGGCAGAAGTTACGTGAAATCATTCTGCAGCAGCAACAGCAGAAGAAGATGGCAAGTCGACAGGAGAAAGGGCCCCAGGATCCAGCTGCAGGGCCTCACCCCGGCCCCCTGCAGCACTGGCAGCCAGAGAGCGTCAGCCAGGCTTTCTCCAGGCCTCCGCCCCCCTATCCTGGGAGCACCAGGTCACCTGCTGTCCCTCCACTAGGACCTAGATATGCTGTCTTCCCAAAGGGCCCACGTGGACCCTACCCTCCCGATGTTGCTGGTGTGGGGATGAGACCTCATGGATTTAGGTAACACACTTTATTTCCTGCCAGGTTTAAATTGCAGTTAGAAGTTACTTGTAGTCAAGTTGTTACTGCTTTTTACTGGTTATTTCCCTCTGAGATATAACTGGTGTTATTTCCACTCATGAGAGGTCATGGATTTAAAAAAGAAATTACTGAGTTTGAGTTTTTATTTAGATTGGAAAATATTTAATGCTTGATAATAGGAAAAACGGGTAATGTGGTAAAGTTTGATGGATGTGTCGGGTCAACCATGGAGAGTTTGGCAGTACGGTACCTCTTGACTTACAGGAAGTTTCACTTAGAAATTTCCGCATACAATTGTGCAGGTGTCCATGGGAATATATTCAAGGTTATTCTTTTAACCCTTAGTTATAAATTTAAAAAAAAAAACAGTAGAAACAGTCTAAGTGTCGATCTGTAGTAGCAGTAAATAACAGCAATGCATTTACTGTGTGTGAAGAACTATTCTCTGCACTGCAGATGTTTTATAAGATCTTTACATCGGTTCAGTTATACTTAGAGATTGAGGAGCATAAGGCTCAGAAAAAAATTGGTTAAATATATTCTGGCATGTCTATATTGTGGCATACAAGAGAGCCATTAATTATTGATAAAGATATTTATGACTCATTGGGTGGGAAAAACAGACTAAACAACATAATTTCATTTGTATAAAACTACGTAATTGCATAAGTACGTCTTGAGTGATATATCCAACATGTTGACAGTGGTTATCAGGGAAAATTATAAGTTGATAGTTTATACCTTATATCTTTATATTGCCTGGATTTTTTTAAACACATATCTACACACACAAACACACACATTTTTTAAATTGATTTGAGAGAGGATGGGAGTGGGGCAGAGAGAGAAACATTGATGTGAGAGAGAAGCAGGGATCGATTGCCTCCTGCACACACCCTGACTGGGAATTGAGCCTGAAACCTTGTGACACCCAGGGTTACACTCAACCAACTGAGCCACACCCAGCCAGGGCTGGCTTTTCTCTTTTTTGGAAATTACTTCCTCATTTTCCCTTGTTACCTTTAGAAAGAAGAATTTTGTTTGAAAATAGTCCAGACTTTTGAAATTTGAGGTCCGGAAGGACTACAATGAATTACATAGAAATAAAAATAAACCATAGATAAGTCTGTCAAAACACAGAGCACTGTGTGCATTCCTTGGAGGTTTTAGAACTAAGTCTACACTCTGGGCACCCTTGGGGAAGTGGTTTTGACCTGCCTATCTTAAGGACAGTAGACTGTTTCTTTCCCTGCCCTCACCTCAAACCTCACCAGTTTTGCAGTTGGACTTCCTTGCAAATAACTGACTCAAATTTTTATGATCCAATGGATTTTTCCTACTTTTAAGGAAGACCCCTTTGTCACTAAGTATTGACCGTGCTGGCATTGCATAAATCTACAACGTAACCACGGCTTGATGAGTGAGGCTTCTCCTCTCCCCCAACTTTGTATTGTAGTTTACATTGTGACTCTTCGTGGAGGTTTCCACGTGGTTATAAAGTTAGTGGGGTGTCTTTTGTTTGTTTGTTTCTGAAGTGGATGGTGGGAAGGTCAAAGCCAAACACACGCCCCAGGTACACTGAGGAGCTGGTTAAGACAGGCTTTCAGTTTCATCAGAGGTGTTTCTCAGTCCGATCCCTGCCTCCATGTCAGGCTTATGCTTATTTCCCTTTTCCTTCCTCCTCGATTTTAATGTGTGCCTGTTCTAGTTCCTATTTACTTGTAAATCACCTTTCGTTTTCTAGAATGAAGTACAGCATATACAATAAAGGTAGTCTTACAATCATTTGCTAAATGTTTACAGATGACGCCTATTAGTCTGCCTCTTCCTCCCTCCCATCCTCCCTCCTGTCCTCCCTCCCTCCACGCAGATAGGTTAGTCCCTCCAGCCACCTGCCTTTTCTTCTATGTACAGAGGCCCGTAAGTCCCTCCAGTACAATTTGTGAGAGCTCCTCCCTTGATTCAAGCACCCTCCCCACCCTCCCACAATCTGCTTCCTCAGTAGAGCCCCCTAAATGCAGAAGAAATGGACTCCTGCTCAGCTCCACGAGTGTTACACTTAGTTCTGAACAGTTGATTCCATCTGCTTTCGGCTGTTCCTTTGCCTTCATTACGTTGTCTGTGAAGCACCTGTCTTTAGAGCTCAGATACAGGGTGTTGAGTGTACATTACGGGTTTACTTAGCAAAAATTCATGTGCGTGTGGATACTTTAGCAGTGCTTTCAAACTAGATAATATTGTCTTTCCTGAGTCATTGTATTTGGCAACATTTGTATCTGAGTTTAACCTAAAACTTTTCCTATCCTCAACCTATTCCTGTGTTTAATGTGATACTTAGTGCTTCCTATTTGCTTTTTCCACGTAGATTTGGATATCCAGGAGGTAGTCATGGTACCCTGTCGGGTCAGGAACGCTTCCTCCTGCCGCCTCAGCAAATGCAAGCACCTGGAGTTCCCCCACAGCTGAGAAGGTCAATGTCTGTGGACACCCCCAGGCCTTTAAGTAACTCGCAAGTGAATAACCCAGTGGGTCTTGCTCCGCATTTCCCACCCCAGGGTCTGCCGGTCCAGCAGCATAACCTACTGGGCCATGCGTTCATCGAGCTGCGGCACAGGGCCCCGGACGGACGGCCGCGGCTGCCCTTCTCTGCCTCTCCCGGCAACGTTCTAGAGGCACCTGCTCACCCGCGACATGGGAACTTCATTCCCCGGCCAGACTTTCCCGGCCCCAGACACACAGACCCCATGCGACGCCCTCCCCATGGTCTACCCAGTCAGCTGCCTGTGCATCCAAATTTGGAACAGGTGCCACCCTCTCAGCCAGAGCAAGGCCATCCTGTCCATGCACCTTCTATGGTCATGAGGTCCCTGAGTCATCCCTTAGGTGGAGAGTTTTCAGAGGCCCCTTTGTCATCGTCCGCACCAGTTGAAACGCCGTCAGATAATTTACAGGTCACTGCCCAGTCTTCTGATGGTCTTGAAGAAAAACTCGATTCTGATGACCCATCTGTGAAAGAGCTGGACGTTAAAGACCTCGAGGGGGTTGAGGTCAAAGACTTGGATGATGAAGACCTTGAGAATTTAAATCTGGATACGGAGGATGGCAAGGGAGACGAATTGGACACTTTAGGTAATTTGGAAACTAATGACCCCAACCTGGACTACTTCTTAAGGTCAGGGAAATTTGATATCATTGCTTACACAGACCCAGAACTTGACCTTGTAGATAAGAAAAGCGTGTTTAATGAGGAGCTAGACCTTAACGTCCCCATTGAAGACAAGTTAGATAGTCAGTGTGTATCTGCTGAACCAAAAAAAAAGCAAGAAGAGAAAACTGTGGTTTCTCCTGATAAACATTCCCCATGGAAGAAATCCTCTGTTACCAGTGAGATAAAAACAGAAGTACTGTCTCCAGATTCCAAAGGGGAAGCCAGGTGTGAAGGGGAGAGGAGCAGCGAGGGTCAAGACCATGCCGACACTCCCTGCTCCCAGGCTGCCGCTCACGCAGATGGGCCGGGCGTCGACGCCGACCCGCCTGACCAGAGGGCTCACCGCGAGGCCGCCGGCCCCAGCTCAGGGGCTGCTCACGGATCCGCGCCCCCGCCCGCCGACCACGCAGCCAACTCCTGCAGTGTAACTGCCTCGACTCCAGTTCTTTCTAGTTTACTTGCTAATGAAAAACCGGATACTGCAGACATGAGGCCATTGGGGTCTCCGGCTCCAACGCTGCCAGCTTCGCCACCCAGTCACATGCCAGGTTTGCCACCTCCTATGGTGACACCGCCTGGCCATGTTTTGGATAACACCGTGAATTCTAACGTGACGGGTGTTCCTCGGGTAAACCATGCTTTTCCTCAGGGCGTGCAGGTGAATCCGGGATTTCTCCAGGGTCAGGCAGCAGTTAATCATGGTTTCGGGACAGGAAAACCTGCAAATCAAACTGTGCCTCTGCCCGGTCAGTCTGGGGCTGGTGGCTTGTCTGGGCCCCAGCCGTTGATGGTCCCTCCAACACTCGCCCAGCAGGGCAGAGAGAGGCCCCTCCTCCTTGAGGAACAGCCTCTGCTTCTGCAGGACCTTCTGGACCAAGAGAGGCAGGAGCAGCAGCAGCAGAGGCAGATGCAGGCCATGATCCGGCAGCGCTCGGACCCCTTCTTCCCCAACATCGGTAGGAATCATGGTGGGCCTCAGGGTGGTGGTGTTCATTGTGTTTGTTAGGTGTCAGTGTTGACATTATGTGTGGACTAGAGCACCGAGGGTCACATAGTGATTAAGAGTTTTAGGTTCCTCCCAGGTCAATCAGGAGGTTCAAAACTCTTGAGTCTGACCTCAGTTCTTTGTAGGTTATTGTTTAACAGGAGCCTTCTTTTTAGTTCCTTTTAACCATTGTTACCATGTATTTTCAGAGGCGTTGAATTTAAAGAAATTATGAGAGACATAGATTTCTTAATGTCCGTTTGTGTACAATAAGTGCGTGGCTGTTTTTTGTTATTTAAAGCTCTTTAACTTATTTCTAAAAGCTGACTAATTTGGGGGGAAAAACAATCCACCAAACAGCAGTGCATTCAGATTACCTGAGTGTCCCTAAGAGTAGGAATTAGCAAAGGGAGGGCGCGTGTCTGAGGCAAACTTTCCTCTAAGCAATAAAACCGTCCTGTCTGCGTTACCGCTTTCATCATATGGGCCCATCTCTTCTCAGGAAGCAGCCTGTCGCCTGTCCTCATCACAGGGATACGTCCTCAAGAAATTGATACATTTTCCCCTAGGAGGGTGTTAACTAATTTGGTAGGATTCCTTGGTATTGGAAATAACTGCAACTCCTCATGCTGTTAACTGTACTAAAGAAGCAGTTTGATCAGCATGTAAAAGTTTGGATGAAAAGGAACCTCGGTGCTTTAGGTTTTTGCTGATACTCCCTTTGAGTTTGATCTTCCTGTTTCATTCTTGCTTTGGTGATGGGTCCCTGAGATGTGATTGAATTCGGCTGAGGTTCTTCACAACTCACCATTCCTCACCTGACCTAGGAGCCCGTGGTATTGGTTATTGATTAATAAGGAATTAGAGTCTATTAGTTATATAACGTGTGTGACAGTTACATGACCTAAGTGTAACTTGAACCAAGTCCTGTGAAATAAGTAACTTTAACATCTATTTCTTTAGATTTTGATGCAATCACAGATCCTATCATGAAAGCCAAAATGGTGGCCCTTAAAGGCATCAATAAAGTAATGGCACAGAACAACATGGGCATGCCACCAATGGTCATGAACAGGTAGGTGACGTTTTTGATTCTTCCTCTGCGCTAAGACAGGCGTGAGATTATTCCTGGTTCCTCCAAAGAATATGTAGTAACTCAAGAACCTATGTTCCAGGAAGGAACAGGATTTGTTTGTCGTGACGTTGGCCGGATATGATTAAATGGGAGTACTTCATTTTTCTTAGTTCCAGGGTAAACATAGTGAAACAACATAGGAAGGTTTGGAAAGTTGACTTGATTGATCAGGAAATCAGCGTTTTAAGCGCATTTTCCTTTAAGTGCCTTTAGAATAGCTACTGCTCATGAAGAGCTGCTTGGGACGGAGACCTTTCCTCCTAAGGAAGGTGGGAAGGTGAGCCGGGAAGTCGGAGTCAGACTGTTCTCTGTGGAGATGAGGCGGTGGTTGATATAAGCCTGTGAATATTTTTTATTCCATCAAAGGAACAGTGCAGAGGAAAATGTGGGACATTTCAATAGAGGGGCTGAGTGAGTCAGGCTGTAGAGTGAATGCCCCCAAACTGAACTTGAATCAGAAAATGACGTCAAGAGGAGGAGAAAAGAGGGCATTCGAAGGTCAGCAGCTGGAGAATTTGTATATTTTTCACCATTAGCAGACAAATGGAAATTACGCATTAAAGAGGATTGTGAGAGGTGTTTGACCGTCTGAATTCCTGGAATTAGAGTATGTGTGCCCCCTAAAGGATATTAACCTCAGGGCAGTGTCTTAAGTTTTGATCATGGACCACCGTCCGAATTATTTTGTGGTTTTTGAAAACACATGTTCAGTTACTCCCACCAGACCCACTGAGTCAGGATATCTGCAGACGGCACTGGTCTGTCTGTCTGTCGTTGGCAAGCACGTGCATGGCTCTTACGTAGATTGTCGTCTGACAGCCTCTGTCCATAGAGGGATACAACCTCAGTTTAGCCTCATTGTCTTTTCAAACAACTTTTTATGGAGAGGCTGATTATGGAATCGAATGTAAAACCTGCATGAATTTAATAGACATTCTGATAAATTAGGAATCCTTAAAGGTTGAGATAGTTTGGAAATGGGTGAGAGCCATTGTTGAGATGAAAGTAGAGGCTTGCAGTGTCGCACAGCATTTATTCACACTATTTCTCTATCATGGGTTCTTCCTTATGTCATGTACCTTTAGGGTTAACATTTTGTATGCAAAACCAGAAACATAGTGCTACGAAGGAAATCAGTCAGATTTTAAACATAGTTATTTACGTTTAAAAATTATGGTACATATGCTTCTTTATGCATTAACAAATTTAGCAGTAGATCTAGTAATTACCACAATTTCAAAGTAATGATGAATCTAAATGAGCCGTATTAGGTACGTGCAGCAACTGTTGTTAGGAAAGTAACGTGAGTTCTATTGGTAACAGAGTCATGCTACTGCTAATACTGTAGTTTGCTGTCTGTAGTCAAAATAACATTTAGTTTAAAAGATGGGCTTCAGAATTAAAACTCCTGCTGGTTCAGCATCGTACCTTGTACCTCTAGGAATTAGAGATATTAGTCATATATTAGGCATAGGGTTTGCTGTTCTCCTGAGTGCTTGAAGTGTGACATGCTGACTGGGGGTAATAGTGTTGTTTGAATTAAGAGGTCGTTCCTGCCCAGGCTGTAGCGGGCAGAGAGGATAGGTAAATCAAAATAATGGCCAAATAGTTTCAACCTTGTAGACTTTTTCTTTATCTGTGACCAATTTTTAATTTGCTTTAACGTTAGATATAAAAATGTACCAAAATGTGTGAAACTTCCTAATTGAGAGAGTTGCATCTTTAGAATACAGAATAAGTTCCCTATTATTTTTAATTTTACTTCAGAAAAGACATTTTAAAAAATAAAGATTGGAAGAAGAAATAATTCTCTTAGAATATGTGTAATCTATTTCTTTAGATTTTTTTTTTATCCGAAAGGATTGATTGATTGTATGGTAAGGTATAATGAAGCGTGAACAGTGGAACAGCTCTGGCGTGGCCGGCCTACCTCAGCTTCCCCGTCGTGGGGAGAGTGACCTGACGTCTCTGACTCTGATCATGAGTCAGATCCGCGGGAAGAGGCCCCGCTTCCTGGAGGGTGGGGGAGGGTTAAACGGGGTTGGCACGCAGAAAACGGGCGTTAGCAAATGTCCTCGGCCACAGAGACGTAGCCATTCTCTTACTTCCCTGGAAGCAAACAGTGTTAAGCACTTAAAGTAACTTTGCTCACAAATGCTCGTCATATGATGCCTAGTGCTTCCCATTCACAGGTTCCCCTTCATGGGCCAGTCGGTGACTGGAGCGCAGACGGGTGACGGCCAGACTCTCCTGCCACAGGCCATTCCTCAGGTATCGTCACCAGCCCCTCCAGAACCTCGCTCTCCTGTTCCGTCCAGACCTCTCTGCCCAGTAAGGCCACTTCCAGAAAGTCACAGGACCTTAGATACCAGCTCAGCAGAAATAAAGATTGGTTTTTTACGATTAAAATGGGCCCCAGTTTCTTAAAAGGATGTGTGTATTTAAGGGTAGAAAGTCACTTGGAGGGAAGCTAGATGCTTAGGTTTTTTTGGTTTTGCATTTATTTATTTATTTATTTATTTATTTAATTGTTGACAGTATTAAGATGGCCCCAAGTTCCACCCCTCCTAGCCCTCCTCCTCCCAGCCCCTGTCCCACCCCAGGCCTTCACCACACTATTGTCTGTGTCCATTGGTTATGCATATATATATAACCAATTTATATATATATATAAATTCTTTGGTTAATCTCTTCCCATTTCCCCCACCCCCCTGAGATAAGTCAGCCTATTCCATGCTTCCATGCCTCTGGCCCTGTTTTGTTTATCAGTTTATTAAGTTCTTTAGATTCCACATATGAGTGAGATCATGTGATGTTTGTCTTTCTCTGCCTGGCTTATTTCACTTAGCATGATACTCTCCAGGTCCACCCATACTGTCCCAAAGGGTAAGGGATCCTTCTTTACACCTGCATAGTATTCCATGGTGTAAATGTCCCACAGCTTCTTTAGCCACTCATCCATGATGGGCACTTGGGCTGCTTCCAGATCTTAACTATTGAAAATAACCCTGCTGTAAACATAGGGGTGCGTATTTTCTTTCTGATTGGTGTTTCAGGATTTTTAGGATATATTCCAGAGTGTTGATTCTGTTATGAAGTCCCTACCCTCATGACCTAACTAATCCTGATTATCTCCCAAATGACCCACCTTTAAAGACCATAACACTGGAGATGAGGGATTCAACATATGAATTTGGGGGAAACAAATATTCAGTTCCTGACATTGCTGGTGGAATGGGGTCCTCATTGTGTCAGGAAGAAAGCATTTCGGGGACTACATATGGGGGGATGAGGTTTGGTGGGAA